TACTTCATTGGAAGGTAGTGGGAGGCTTATCTGTTTATGCCTTATTTAGTTGACCTATGTGCTATTTCCCACAGGAAGAGGAAGATGTAAGGCCTCGAAGGATTATCAGCAGGAAGAGAAGGATGAACTGAGCATCTGCCAGGGGGAAAGCATTGAGATCATCGGCTTTGTCATACCTGGGCTGCAGTGGTTCATTGGGAAGTCAATGAGCTCAGGAGAGGTGGGCTTTGTCCCCACCAGGAACATAGATCCTGATTCTTATTCCCCACTGTGAGTATGACAGAGATTGTGTCCTGGAGCTGGGCTGCCTTCCCCAGTGGCTGCTCCCGTCTCTGAGCAGTTTTGCAGTTGAGCTTCAGGGATGCCCTGGTAACATGGAGATAGAGAAGCATAATCTGGCAACTGAGTCTGACACAGAGAGTAATAGGAAGGAGGGGTGAGTGATCAGGGAATGGGTCATTCAGCTCATTTCACCAGATGGTCATTGAAGCTTTCCTCTGTGCAAGTAGAGAAACACAACCCCAAGACAAAGGGCCTGCTGTTAGGCACAGAGGGTGTGGTTTTGCTACTCAAACCCTGCCACTTAACTATCCAAGTAAGGGGCCCCATCAAGGGATGGGCACACAGGGAGCAGTAGATCATCAGCTTAGTAAATGAACATTTTCTCCCATGTTGGTCTGGGAGGTAGGTCCCATGCAGGTCTTCACACATTCAGTTTTCAAGATGAAAGCTTAATGTATGAAGTCAGTATTGTATAGGAGAGCTCTTTTCTGCCTTGAATCCAGAAGGGCTGGTTCTGAGGAGCAGCTCCATCCACCTGACCAAAAAGCAGTAGATTATCAGCAGCCTGCTCCACGCCCCCGTCACTGAGGGGCAGAGGTCAGGAGTACTGCCCAGTCTCTCTGAGCTGGGCTTCCTACACAGCGATAAGAAACAGAAGAAAGCCTGGGCTTAGGAATTATGAGAGGAAATGGAGAATTGGCTACTAATATGTAGACACTATAGCTCTCCACACTGGGAAAATGTCGCCAAGGAATGTCTATGGATCTGAACATTCAGCCTGGAATTCCCCCTCTCCTGGGAAAGAGCCAATGAGGAGAGTGGACCAAGGACAGATGCTCCCTCTGTTCCATGCCCGTCAAGGGAAGAGGAGACAGAAGGCCATTTTCCCTGTGCAGAAATGTGGGAACCCAAATAACTCTAAACAAGGAAGTCTTCTCACTGAACTCCTGACGAATTATCAAGTGCTATGGGATTTATAAGAAGGAAAAGGGTATCGACAGAACTTTCATGAGAAAGGTGACATTGAGTTAAGCTTTGCATGATGTAAGACATCTTAACAGATGTGAATGGGCAAAGGAAGTCACAAATAGGAAAGTGGTGGGATGCTTGAGGAATGACTTATGTTGGGAGGTTACCAGGAGGGCACCAGTGTTACAAAGGCTGTGTGGGGACTTTCATGATGTGGAAGATGGGGAATGACTGTGTCATGGCCTGTCCTTCACCTGGCAGAGAACTGAGAGACCCTGGATGTGTCTGAGCAAGGCCAACATATGATCTGTATGACGCTAAACCTGGCTTTGGGTGACGTGTGCACCAGCAGGGGACTTGGAGGCAGGAGCAGTGAGAAGGCCAAGGGGGACACTTAGGAGGGGCAGTGGGAAAGGAGAGGAGAGGCCACTGCTGAGGACCAATCAACAGGAAGTTAAAGAGTCTGGGAGCTTTACAAACATGGATACCTGTGTTCCGCCCCCAGAGACTCTCATCTAGTTGGTCAGGAGGGGCCTGGGCAACGATATTTATAAAAGCTCCTTGGGGGCTAATGGGCAGCCAAGATGAGAACAATCGCTCTACCCCCCCCCCCATATTACTGCAGGGGGAAATGAGGACCCCAGCAGTGAAGGGGCTGAACCCCAGAATCCTGATGTTAACCCCAGTGAGTTCTGGTGAGGGGTCCTGGTGAAAGGGAGAAAGAATAAAGAGAACAGGAACTTGGTGAGGAAGAACCATTCCCAGAGTAGAGGAAGAAAGAACATAGCAAAGACGGCAGAGGAGTCTTTGGGAGTGTCTCCTGGGAGAGAGAAAGCAGCTGTGGGGGATGTGGGGGGATGGTTAACACTGTTGCTGTCCTCAGAGAGGAAATGCGGGGCCGACTGAGGAAAGGCCTCTTGTACCAGCCATTGGGAGATCACTGGGAGGCAGCGTAGCTGAATGGTTTACAGAATTCCAGAGTCAAACTGGCCCCAAAGCATTTTGGGACCCTGCGAGTGCATCCCATGTCTCCGTTAGCTTGCCAGCTCTGGAACTTGGACACATTCATTACTCTCTCTATGCCTCAGTTTTCTCATCTGTAAAATGTGTACACTATTGCTACTTGCCTAATAGGGTTGTCATGAGTTTAAATGAGCTAATAATACATGTAAAGCACTTAGAATGGTGCCTGGCACAGTGTGTGTGTGTGATCAATAGCTGTTGCCTCTTATTATGGTTGTTGTTGCTCTTGTTATTGTTGCCGATACTTGTCTTTAAGAAACTTTTTTTTATAGGATATTGTGTCAGGTGTCAGGTTTCATACATTATATTTGGACTTCTGCACCTCATACCTTACCCCAAATGACAATAACTCTGTACCACTAGATTAATCTACTCATCACATTTTAGCCAGCTTAGTTGAAGGGACACATTCACGCTGAAGAACAGCATCCCCCAGACCACTTGAGGTGGCAATACCACTTTCTCCTTATTTCCGCAGTGCCATTTGTTGGCCTACAATGGTCACCTATGGGACCAGATGCACTGTGGATTGCACACTTGGTAGGGAAGTGAGTCAGGAAACAGGAGGGCTGGGAGAGGAGTGGAGAAGAGAACTGGCCTGTTTCCCCAAAGCAATCTCTAGACTTCAGACATCCTTGAACCACAGTGAATGAGGGATCGATTTTTGGGCTCAGAGGAGAGACAGCCAAACAAGCTGACACAAGTGGCAGCCAGGTTGTTGAAGTCTGTGCATGTGCCTGTGGTCTGGCCACTGGGGGTCACTCTTCGCCTGTGTTCATTTGGTATCAGGCTTCTGAGCAAGTTCGCAGCATTTGCTGAAGTCTCCATAATGTGCATGCGTGTGTGTGTGTGTGTGTGTGTGTGTGTGTGTGTGTTTTCTAAATTCGCAG